CTCTCTCTCTCCTGGCTGTCTCGCCTCGCTCTCTCTCTCCTGGCTGTTTCTCCTCGATCTCTCTCCCCTGGCTGTCTCTCCTCGATCTCTCTCCCCTGGCTGTCTTTCCTCGATCTCTCCCCCGGCTGTCTCTCCTTGTTCTCTCTCTTCTGGCTGTCTCTCCTCGCTCTCTCTCCCCTGGCTTTCTCTCCTCGCTCTCTCTCCCCTGACTTGTCTGTCCTCTCTCTCCTCGCTCTCTCTCCTGGCTGTCTCTCCTCCCCTGGCTGTCTCTGCTCGCTCTCTCTCTCCTGGCTCTCTCCTCGATCTCTCTCCCCTGGCTGTCTTTCCTCTCTTCTGTCTCTCCTCGCTCTCTCTCCTGTCTGTCTCTCCTCGCTGTCTGTCTCTCCTCGCTCTCTCCTGTCTGTCTCTCCTGGCTGTCTCTCCTCGCTCTCTCCCCTGGCTGTCTCTCCTCGCTCTCTCTCCACTCTCTCCTGGCTGTCTCTTCTCACTCCTGGCTGTCTCTCCCGGCTCTCTCCCCTGGCTGTCTCTCCTCTCTCTCTCCTGGCTGTCTCTTCTCTCTCCTGGCTCTCTCTCCTCGCTCTCTCTCCTGGCTGTCTCTTCTCTCTCCTGGTTGTCTCTCCTCACTCTCTCTCTCTCCTGGCTGTCTCTTCTCTCCCCTGGCTGTCTCTCCCCGCTCTCTCTCCTGGCTGTCTCTTCTCTCCCCTGGCTGTCTCTCCCCGCTCTCTCTCCTGGCTGTCTCTTCTCTCCCCTGGCTGTCTCTCCCCGCTCTCTCCCCTGGCTGTCTCTCCCCGCTCTCTCTCCTGGCTGTCTCTCCCCGCTCTCTCTCCTGGCTGTCTCTCCTCTCTCTCTCCTGGCTCACCTTGCTGTATTTTGCTGTGTAATCTAATATTCTTTGATGTAATACATAGCACTACAACCCCCAGTATCCCCCAGAAAGGTGTCGGGGAGCTCGGCTCAGCAGACTCGGGCTGATAGGTAATCATGTGCGCACAGCGAGATCCCCTTCCTGATCTCCCAGCATCAGCTCTGAGAGCTCCTCATGGATCACCATCTACCTAATGGGCCCCCCTGGTCCAATCAGTCTGCTTTCTCCAACTCTGACGATCCCTGACAACTCACCTCTTCCGGGAAGCCTATTCCTCCTCCTCCTCCAATCAGCTCACAGTTCTCACCTTCCGCATCACCTGCCCCCCTCCTTGTAGATTGTAAGCTCTCACGGGGAGGGTCCTTCTAATCCTTTTCTATGGTATTGTACTTGTACTGTCCCCCCATATGCTGTAAAGTGCCGAGCAAACTGTTGGTGCTCCATGAATCCTGTATAATAATGATACCCACAACAC